AAACAATTGCTATTTACATTCACTGTGAGCCAATGTGGGCCCAAACAATGACCAAGTGAGGCTTGGCCTGGAACCTACTGTTGGCCAATCAATGACAGCCAGAGTGACTTGGGTTTAAGGTACAGTCCTTAAGAAATCTAGCTGGTAAACCTCAAGATGGCTTTTGAGGTTTCAGCTGTCAAAATTTACATTCCTTTGGCAGAGCATGTGCAGGTAAGGGTATGATACCCTAAGCGACAGAGGTAAAGGGGAGGGAGGGAGGAAGGAAGGAAGAGTGAATTATGTTGCCCAACTGGCCAGTTCTAGTTGGGTCCCCAGTGAGTTAGCTCCTATTACTACTCACAGAAGTTGTTGTTTGGCCTTCATTCTTGAAGAGGACCATGACATCAGGGAGGTGATGCCATGACATACAAGTGAATTGGATTTAATGAGGGAGGGCTGTGCAAAGTCACCACTCTCACTTTCTCCTCCAGAGCCATCTGGGTCCAATGAAAAGATCAGGAAGACAGGAGATGGCTCTGGAAGCAGTGGGGGAGACCCTGGCTCTCACTGTTTGGCCAACCTTAGGTCCCAGGCCAAGCCTCACTTGGTCATTGTTTGGGCCCTGATTGTTTCAGAGTGAATGTAAATAGCCATTGTTTCTGTTTTTGGCCCCTCCCAAATTGTTTTTTTTTCTTTTTGACTAGGTAAAAGAAGCCATTCTCTACCTCATTTCTTATCTAGCCTTAATCACTGAATGGGTGTTGCCTCAGTCAAACTGAGACCTGTCAAAAACTTTAGCTTAAAAAGGCCAAGGTCTTGCACTGCATCCAGGGCTATCTCCAGTCATCATGATCTATATTGTGCCACTGCACCCAGATGGCTCATGAGGCTGGTGATTTTGCACAGCCTTCCCTCACTTAAATCCACTTCACCTGCATGCTATGGCATCAACTCAATGTTCTCAAGAACTAAGGACAAACAACAAGGATCAAATACAAAATTGTATCTGTCATTCAAAATCTATCATAGCCTAGCCCTTCCTCATCTTACACCATCCCCTCCCCCATGTACTCTTTAATCCGTGATGCTGACTTCTTTGCTGTTCCTTAAACAAGACACCCATCTCTTAGCTTCATTTTTTCTGCCTCTTCCCAGTGCCTTCAATGTTCTTCCTCATTTGAGCCTCCTAAAGTCCTTCAAGTAAAAGCTAAACTCTCACCTACAGGAAGCCTTTCCTCAGTCCCTCTTAATTCTAGTGCTTTCCCTCTGTTTATGATTTCCTATTTTTGCTTGTTTGTGCATAGCTGTGTACATGTTATCTCCCCCTAGATTGGGAACTATTTGAGGGTTTTGTCTTTCTTCGTATCCTCAGCACTTGGTACAGGGCCTAACACACAGTAAGTGCTTAATAAATGATTGACTGAGTCTTTGACAGTTTTCTTCAGGTATTTGAAGAGCTGTTATATAGAAAGGGGTTAGATTCAGATGACAGACTAGAAGCACTGGGTAAGTTAATGGACATAGTTCAGCTCATTAAAAAAAACAAACTAGAGCTATTTGAAAATGGCAGATGTCTCAGAAAATGTAGTGAATTTCACATCTTTGGAAGATAGTGGCTGGTTGATCATTTGTTGGAAGCTTTTGAGGAGCAGGGTGACCGACATGGAATGGGAGATTAGATGATCTCTTTGATGCTTTCTAGCTGAGATCCTGGGGTTTCTTTTGGGCCAGAGACAACTTTTTGTCTTGTCAGCTTTCACCTCCCTTTTGGTTCCCTCTACCTCACGTCTTCCATCCCTGGGTTGATTGATGCTTTTTCTGGTCTGGGCAATTAATTGACATTAGTGTTCATTTCTCATCTCCTTTCGCCTACGTACTGTCTTCCCAGCCTCCAGATATGCGTCTGTCAGCCTTGCTAGCCCTGGCAGCCAAGGCCAACTTGCCTCGTAATTACCGCTATGGAATGAGCCGACCTGGATCTGTGGCTGACAAGAGGAGAAACCCTCCCTGGAGAAGACAGCGTCCAGTCCTCGTGGAGCCCATACCTGAGGATTCCTGGAATGTGTTTTGTGGGGACACGGTGAGGGATGCAGGGCTGACAGATATGGATGTCAGGGCAAAGGAGAGAATGGGCCTGAGGTTGTTCTCCTGACACCGTGTACCTACAGGTCGAGATCCTGGAAGGCAAAGATGCTGGGAAGCAGGGCAAAGTGGTTCAGATCATCAGGGAGAGGAACTGGGTTGTCTTAGAAGGACTGAACACAGTAAGTAGTGGGGACTGAGACCTTCACATTTCTGGTGGCCTCACTTCCTTGCCTCCTTCTCTACCAAAAATCAATCACTGATAACAGTAAAAAGAATGATTGAGGGCTGGGTACTCTCTCAGCTTAAATCCCCATGATGGTCCTTGGGAGAGATGGGAGGGGCTTCCTTATATCTGTTTCTGACTTCTTCCACCTTTCTTCTTACAGCATTTCCGGTACATTGGCAGGAGCAAGGATTACCGGGGAACCATGATCCCCAGTGAGGCCCCCCTGCTTTTCCGTCAGGTCAAGCTTGTGGATCCCACTGACAGGCAAGAGGGCAGGACATTGACCTTCTGGAGGATCATGAGGGCAGGAGCTTGGACTTTCTAGGTGGTGAAAAGGACAGAATGCTGGACTTAAGAACTCAGGAAGACCTGATTTTTGAATCCTGCTCCAGGCACTTGCTTGCTGTGTGACCCTAAGCAAGCCCTTCATCATCTCTGTGCCTCAGGCTCATCTGTAAAATGAGTAGTCTTTATGGCCAATTTTCACATCTCAATCAAAATGATCATTGTGGGATTGGACTGAAACAGAACCTCAGGAAATGCTGCCTAGCCTACAGCAGGGGTGCTATTTTGGAGAATAAGAAGAGAAATAGGTTAGCTTTATAGCAGGAGAATGTTTAGATGTCACACAGGATTTCCTAGGAGTCAGAAGAATTCAGTCTTTTACATTCTGAGAAGTTGATTCTTTGTGGTGGAGAAAGGATGTGGGGCCATACAAATTTGGTTCACTCTCCTTCCCTGCAGGAAGCCAACTGAAGTGGAATGGAGGTTTACAGAGGAAGGCGAGCGTGTACGAGTCTCCCTGAGGACAGGGAGGATCATCCCAAAGCCAGAGTTCCCCAGACCCGATGGCATCATCCCTGAGCAGTGGATTGGTGAGTTAGATTTGGCTAGCTTCTCATATGAGGGGTCTATTGGGGTAGGGCTTGAGGCATCACTGGTACAGACATGGCATTTGTGTTGGTGATCGTTAATTATATAAAAGGCAGTAATATGGAAGAAAGGATATCTGTTTGGCTCCAGAGGACAGAATTAGAAGGAGCAAGTGGAATTTGGAGAGGCTGATGACATATATCATCTTGGAAGACTGGGAGACCCCTTCCAGTTAGGTGGTGGTAGGTGGTACACTGGGTCTGAAGTCAGAAAGCCCCGTGTGATCCTCGGCAAGTCTCTTAACACCTTTCTGCCTGTTTCGTCAACTTCTAAAAGGGGTTGATAATAACACCTACCTCCGAGAGTTGTAAATGAAACGTTTATTAAGCTTTTAGCATAATGCCTAGCACATAGTAGGCACTTAATAAATGCTTATCCTTCCTTTTCCTCCTCTTGCTTCTCTGTCTTTATGATCCTAAGAAACATGCAGAGTCAGGGATTGGGGGGACTCAGTGAGCATGGAATGAAGTGGCTGGGGCAGCATCTATAGGTGGGTTAGTGGAAGAATGAGTCTTGTTCTGCTCGGTCTCAGAGAGCAGAACCAGGAGCAGTGGTGGGCATTTCCAGAGGCAGATTTTAATTCAATATGAAGAAAGCCTCCCAGCAGTTAGCTGTGTTCAAAAGTGGGATGGCCTGCCACTGTGGGTAGTGAGGCAGCTGAGCACTTGTAATGGATACTGTAGGAATGATTTATGCCCAGGTACAGGTTAGACTGGGCTATACAGCATCTAAGCTTCCTTCCAACTCTGAGATTCAGCTACTTGTGTATCCCTAACATAACCACCTTGGCTCTACAGATGGCCCCAAAGATACGTCAGTGGAAGATGCTCTGGAGAGAACTTATGTCCCCTGTTTGAAGACCCTGGGGAGAAGAAGTGATGGAGGCAATGGGGATTGTGGAGACTCGGAGGCACAGGAAAGTCTACTGGTATTAAAGCTACGGAGGGGACTGTCTTCTTCCCACCACTGCCCACCCCCCAGAACATGACCCTGGGTGTCTGAGGAATTGCTCTATTTACTATTGTCTAATAAAGATAAATGTGTAGATCTCTGTCTTGTAGGGAGAATAAAGGAACCTGGCTGAACTGCATTTCACCAGTGATGCAATGATGCTGTACTGGAATAGTCAGAGGTTAAACATTATGAAGGCCTTTCAGAGCCCCAGGAGTGAGAAATGGCATGAGATTTTGTGTGTAGGTTTGTCTCTTTCCTTTCCCCTGGGCCACTTGGCATGGTGGCAAGGAGGATCAGAATATTAGGCCAACTTTGTTGAGGTCAGGAAACGGAGGACCAGAAAGGGGAGATGACTGGACAAGGTCCTTCACCTCAGTGGGCCTCTTTCCCTATCTTTGAAATAAGGGGGTTGGACTGAACCATCACTCAGGTACCTTACAGTTCTAAATTCTATAATTTGAGGACTCCTTTGTGACTCCACCAGGAGGGCAGAAAGAGGCAGGTCAGCTTTGCCAGTGGATGGCAGTGGGTGAGGGGGCAGGAGTGATGGAGGACTTAACCTAATGGGGCATCTGTGAAATACACCAAAGAGACCTGGGTGGCAAGGTATCCTCAAGATTTACCCTTTGGGGCAGCTAGATGGTGCAGTAGATAGAACACTGGCTCTGAGATGAGGAGGACTGAGTTCAGATCTGTCCTTACACATTAGCTGTGTGACCCTGGGCAAGTCACTTAATCCTGATTGCCTCCAAAACAACAACAACAACAAAGATCTACCCTTTGCTCATACAGCATTCAGGGAAATAAGAGGCAGGAAGGATTCAATTTTTTAAAAATGGATTTTTAGAAGGCCATTTTTTTACATAACAGGCGGAAAAAAGTCTGAGGTCCAAGAAGAGTATGGTCAGGGATAGGCCAAAGATAAAAAGATGTGTTTTCCCTAAGTGAGAGATGATTAGCTCTAGGGCACTCATTTCTGTTGTGGTCTCATGTATGTCTTCGGGAACTTGGGAGTTTTAAAGGGTCTTGAGGCCTCCATTCCTATAACACTGTCAGCTTTCCTCTACTTCCAGGTCAGAAAGTGCTGGGCCCAATGGGGTCTTAGTGGCCACCAATACCAAATTTCGAGGAGATAGTTCAGGCCTGAAGACAGGGAGAAGTTCTGCATGGCAGCCTGAGGTGGGAAGAAGGGAGAGAGGCTTAAGATGTTAGAAGCTGCTCTGCCTTTGGGTCCCCACCCCTGAAGCTCCTCCAGTGGACAGAGATCTTTTGAGTATCTCTTGGTTCCCTGGCATTAGAAAACAGTAGAGGGTAAGGGTGGAGACATTGGTGATTCTATGCCCTCTTTGCTGAGGCACTAACCTGACCCCTTTCCACATCACCCTGTCCCATCACTCCATTTGTGCTGGGACTCACCTTGCTCCTGTAGGAAAAGCAGCCGATCCAGCAGGATCAGTGTCTCCACCAGTGGTGCTAACAGCAGTGCCAGGCTGAAGAATGCCACCACCCGATGTTCCTGTGTCATGCAGGCATGCAGGGAGGCCAGGTCCAGGGGCAGCCCAGGGTCCAGTCCCACCCGCTGTAGCCCTAGCTGTATGTACCTGCAGGGCAGTGAGTGGTAACAGGAGCATTTTAGGGTAGTGGAGATTCCCCTATTGGAAGTGTTCTGAGACAGAACCCTCCATCATAAGTTCCTTCCAGATTCTACTTTAAAGGATTATAGGCCAAGGTCTAGAGTAAGACTTGGAGACATCTCCACCTTCCCAACCCCTTTACTGAGGTGCCTCTCTCCCTTCCCATCCATGCATCCCCATTCCTTACTCTTCCAAGGGCAGCTCATGGGCCCTTGGGATGCTTTGCACCCCAGGTCTGCAGAGCCCTGGCTGGGCAGCCCGGATCACTGTCTCTAGGGCTGCTCGGTAGCAGTGGGTGCGGAGGCCGGGGCCTGCTCCCCGAAGCCGTTCTGCGTACTCTTCCAGAGCGTGGCAGGCACCCTCTCGGAACTTGTAGGGCAGCCTGTGGTCCTGGAGCCCACTAACCCAGTGGCTTAGGGGGTAGCCCCCAGGGGTGGTCAGCTTCATGTAGCAGCAGCCCACAGATGCCAAGGCCACTGCCTCGGGGCAGCAGGCAAAGTGCTGCAATAGAGTCACACTTAGGTCCCCACAGGCATGGAGGCCAGTCAGGAGCAGGCGTCGAGCAGGGGTCTGAGCTGCCTCTGACTTCAGGGGAGACAGAAGCTCCTGAGCCAAGGCAGTTGGGTCTACCCAGCTAACGACATGATTTGGGGGCTGGTGAGGGACAGCTGAGATGATCTGTGGGGGAAGGAAAGAACCAGCACTTAACACAGTGCCCAGCATAGAGCAAACCCTTAAGTTACAGTGGGCTAAATTCAGTAGCACCTAGTCTCTAGAGGATCACAGAGTTTGGGCTGGAAAGAATATTATCCTGGAGATAACCAAGTCCAACTCCTTAATTTGTATTGATGACAAAACAGCCCAGAAAAGAGAAGTGACCTCACTGTCACAATCAATAAGAGGTAGGGCTGAGATTTGAACTCTGATTTTACAACTCCAAAGAGAGCATTCTTCCCACTTGGACAGAAATAAGAAGGCATCACATTGTCTTCCTCCTACATACCTCTAATCAGGTTAGTACTCTGCTCACTATCACTTATCTACAAATGTTTACAGTTCTTTGGTACAAAGGGTCCTTCCCAGTCTGGTAGCATCCCACCTTTTTAGCATCCTCTTGTACTGTTATACTTGTACTCCAGGTCCCCTAACAATCCCAGGAATGTTCGTTCTTTCATTCTTGTTATTAAATTCCTACCCCTTTAAGTCAAGCCCAATTCAGGTAGGAAGCCTTTTCGGACCACCTCCTCCACCCACCGTCTCGGACTTTACCTAGCAATCTGTTCCAAACCTTTCTGATGCAGTCATTAAGTATCATAGTACTGTGTATTTCTCTTCTCTCCCATTAGTCTGTAAGCTCCCCGGGGTTGGGAGGGCCCTGCTTTATCTATCTAACATTACCACTCCCCCACCCCTGTGCCTAGCACTGTGCTTGGCATTACTAAGTACCTGTTAAGTAGGTAGCACTCTGTGTCTCTGTCTCAAACTCCCTTTCTTTCCTCTGCTGTCATAATCTGCACAGGCCCACCAGGGGTTGTGGTAATCAGGGGCTGGGGATGAGATGGTGTGGAGTCAGGATCCTTCTCCCCCATGGTCAAGAGTGGGGGCAACAGATTGGAGCAGGCCAGGCCTGTCCTGAGGAGAAAGTCTAAAATTATTTGATTCTGACAGCAGGGAAGAAGAGATACAGGTACGTGTGTTTCTGGCCCAAGTCTTTGGAATTGACAGCAGAACCCCCAATTGGAAACCTAGTTCAGGAATTCTTGGGAATAACTGTTATAACCCCTGCTATAAATGCTGTTAAGTACCATGAGTTTTATCATGTATTGACAGGCCCCCTCCCAAGAAGAGAAGTTAACACTATACCCTTCCCAAGGTCAGAGATGAAAGCAGAGCTATGCAAAAGACAGGAAGGAAACTGAGGTGGGAAGCCCAGACTTTGTAAGTCAGACAGCTCAAGTGGGAGAAGGTCATTTCAGGATCAGAAGAGCCTTGCATAGTTCTCTCAACCATGTTCTTGGGGAAGGAGTTTTACCTGTGGTTTCCTCCGTTCCTCCTTCTTCAGGATACTAAGGAGTTCCTGGTCCAGATGCCGGGCTCTTTCCACCAGTCTCCTATCCTTTTCAATGCCAGTCACAGAGAGCCCCAGCCCCAAGGCCAGGAATCGGGTGAGATGACCCTACAGTCATGAGGGTAGGGGTCAGAATACATCTCAGTTGTCCTTTTTACCCTTCCCACCAGGGGCTGAGAGGCCTAAGATCACATCAGAAAGTATGGAGACTCAGGCGTCCCTGTCTCAATCCCATCTCTTGGACATTCCCCCTTTCCTACTGCAGTTCAAATCCTTTCCTTCACCTTTTCTCCAACTTTGTACCTATGGTAACATGCCCTTATCTCCCTCTTTCCTCAAACCCAGAGTGGGTCTTGGGTGGACTACCTCCCAAGTTCTACCTAATGACTTGGAGGTGTCTCACCAACAGAAATAAGGGTTATAGACCTGGGGAAGACCGATATGAACTCACCTGGCCAGAGCCCACATCAACCACCTGGTTGCAGCCTGTAAGATCACTCAGTTTCTTCACCAGCTGGGGGAGAGGATTTGGAAGTAGAACAAAGATCTCTCAGCTACTGGCTCCTGCTCACTTGGGCAGAAGCCATTGACTGAAGGTAGAGAGGATAAGGGGAGTCTGCCAGATGAAAGGATCAGTACAGAAAGCCAGGATACCCAGAAACTAGAGCAGGGGGTCAGGTGGGGAAGAATGTGAGAAAGAGTAGGAAGCAGGTCCCTGCTCTTCTTGGAGAACAGAACCTGGCTTGACCTGCCCCAACCTGTTCACTCTCTCCCTGGATCATGGAGCGAAAGAGCCTACCCTCATATCCCCTCCTTGCCCCCATCTCTCCACAAATTCCATAAGCCCTAGGGGCTATGGATGTGACAAAAGGAGAGAGTTGGAGACAAACATAAAGAATGCTACACAGACACATCCAGAGAGGCAGATGCCAACCAAGATGGAAAGGGAAAAACAGAAACAAACTCAAAGAAAGATGGCAGCTAGAGAGAAGAGGAGAAACAGGGGGGGTTGGGGTAGGGGGGACTGTGGGCTTGGAGTCCTTGGAAGGGCAGAGATCTCCACATTTCCCTCCTCTGCCCTCACCAATCCTACCTCCCCCTTCTTCCCTCAGTACTCCCTTCTCATTCCCAGGCCATTCCTCACCTCTCCTAGTCGCCTTATCTCATGCTGTTTCTTGGGCTTGACATGTTTCCGAAATTGGGCTGCCAGCCGGGAGCTCTGGCTGGGGTTCTCCTGGAACTCAGATGGGCCCAGGGACTCAGGTGTCCGAGTAAAGGCCAAGGCACGGGCAGTAGTCTTCAGGGCCAGAAGGGTCAGTGGCCACACTGATCTGTACCTGAGATAGCCCAGGCCCTCCTGTGAATGTTCCCACCACCACCAGAACAGAACTTAATTACAAAATAAGGTGTTCATGAAGTCTTTGGGCAATTTTACCTTCAAATGACACTGCCCATGAATTTATAGATGGTTACATGAAATTAATTCTTGATATTTTTTGTTTACCTGGAAACCACTCCCATACCTGATCTCTTCTCCAGCACTAGGCATCTCAAGTAGCATGGTAGCAATTTGGGGTGGGGTCAGCCCATCTAGGACTTCTTGCCATGAGCTGGGGAGCTTCTCCCACAAGGAGTCTGTAAAAAACTCCTAGGGAGTAAGAGAAAACCAGTCAGCAGCTGCACACTGCTAAGGGCCCCCTAAACTGTCTATCACCACTTCTCCCTCATTCTCCAGACAGGGGATGTATGTCTCCAGGTACTTTGGATCATAATAATTAAAGATGGAAGGGCAGTTAGAGTTCTTCTTCCCTCCTAGTCTACTTTTTCCCCTCATTTTGAAGATGGAAAACAGAAAATTTGGAGAGCTTCCTGATATGAAAAATGAAAACTGGACCAGATGATCTTGAAGTTATTTTTCATCCAGATCCTAGGAGCAAGAGTAGTTAACTGATTTTCCCAAAGTCATAAAGTGCCAGGATTTGAATCCATGAATGCCTCCCATTTGTACCTGCAATTTTATCATTTAGGCTTTAGTTGGAAGGATGTGCAAAGTGATAACGGACAAAAGAAATCCATAAATGTCCTAAAAATATATAGTTTGTGTTACCATCCATTCCTTCTTCCATACACATATACCCCCATTCCTGCCCTTAAACTGCTCCAACTCCCAGCCTTATTTACAATGATGTAGGCATCCAGGATGAATCCATAGAGGGGAAGAACACGGGTCAGGTCCACAGCTAGCTGCCGCCTTCCCTCCAAAGAGAGGTTTCTGGCAGCAAGGCCAGGCATCCTGAGGACCTACAGAGAGAACAGACAGAAGAACTCCAGATGGGACCGTTCCTGCCCCCAACTGAGGCTGCACCTAATATGAAAAAGATCTGTGGGATTTAGTGGGCTTAAGCTACAGTGATAGGCATGTATCCAAGAATAACGTACCTAGTCCTAGTCAGACCATGCCTGGGTACTGTGTTCAATTTTGAAGTACCCTATTTTAAGAAGAGAATTGATGAACTGGCAAGTATTCAGAGGAGGCACACCAGGAGGGTGAAGGATCTTGAGGATGTTTAGCTTGGAGAAGTGCTGGAAGGATATAACAGCTGTCTTCACCTATCTGAATGGCTACCATGGAGGAAGGACTGGCCCCAGAAAGCAGACCTCAGAACAATGGGTAGAAGCTGCAAAGAATTAGACTGAGACTTAATATAAGCAAAGATTTAATGACAGGACTATCACAATATGGAATGGGCTCCTTCCGGAGGCAATGGGGTTTCTCATCACTAAAAGTCTTCCACATGGGCTAGATGAACACTAATTCAGGGTACAGCCCTGTGGAATCTTTGGGTTTGCACTAGGCAACCTCTGAGGTCTCTTCTGTGATCCCTAATGAGCAAGGCTTTGACCACTGGCTCTTGTGACAAAGAGGGCCTTGGAGACATCAGGGACCTGTATCCTATTTCTTTAAATCCCACTACCTCTAGACCATGAGGAAACAGTTAGGATCATTGAATGTTCAAAGTCAGAAAGAATCTTGGACACCATGTACTTCAACATTTTCCTTTGAAAAATGGGGAAACTGGCACCTAAAGTGGTGTTCCCCACCTCATGTTCTGCCTGTCTTCCCCCAGAGACCAGATCCTTAGGTGCTTATAATTGGTCCTAGCAATAATATTAATAATCACTAGTAGTGATATATCACTTTAAGATTTGCAAAGCACTTTATAAATACTATCTCATTTGATTCTTACAACGACCCTTGGAAATAGATAAAAATTATCCCCATTTTAGATATGAGGAAACTGAGGCAGACAGATTTAATCACTTGGCCAGGGTCACATAGCTGGTAAGTGTCTGTGGCTAGATTTGAACTGAGGGCTTGCTGCATATCCATCTGCTTTGCCATCTAGTTGCCTAGATTTTAAAGAAAGAAGATGCACAGCTAGAACATCAATAAGAAAGAGGAAAAGATCTTTATATTTACAGCAGCTTTTTTTTTCAAGAACTGGAAACTACATAGGTACCCATCACTTGGGGAATGGCTGTATGAATTATGGCATATAAATATAACAATACTATTGTGCTGAAGGAAATGAAAAGACGATTTTGGAGAGACCTGGGAAGACCTGTAGGAAATGATAGTCAAGGGAGCAGAACCAAAACACTTTATAATATAACATCAATACTATAAAAACGGAAAAATTCTGAAAATCTTAAGATAACTCTAATCAACAATCAACCATGATTTCAAAGGAATGATGAATGCTGTGTACCTCTTGACAGATGATGGACTGACAGCAGAACAAGAAAATAATTCTTTGATGCAGCAAATTGTTTTGTTTGACTATGCTTCTATGAGACAATGGCTCTTTGTTTCTTTCTTTTTCTCTATCTTTCCAGTGGTTGGGAGGAGGTGGGAGAAAAAAACAAACTAAATGATATTTTTTAAAAAATGAATGAAAAAAAGCACAGGAAGGAAGGAAAGATATATTTATAAAGCACCTGCTATGTACCAAGTGCTTTACAAATATCACATTTAAGACTCACAACCACCTGGGGATGTAAGTGCTGGCATCTTAAAATTGAGGAAACTGAAGCAGAGGTGAAATTGTTGCTGTTTGGGGTGCTGGGGACCCCGAAATGCAAGGGCACAAGGGGTCTGCCTCAAAAGAATTCAACCACTCAAGCCTTCTTTCAGTCAGAGTAGCACGGTTTTATTATAACATGGGTTAGTCAAGCAAGATTCCTAGTAAATCTGCTACTGTGTCCCCAGTAGGAACAACAAGACTCTAAGAATCTGCACAATTTAATGGGGTAAGATTGGTACTTAACATACAAGAAACTACAGTGAGAAGATCTAGATGGGATTAAGGAGTGGTAAATAGCCTGGGATGGACAATGAACCGAGGTAAGTGGTTGGAAAGCCACAGTAAAAGGGCAGTTAAAATGACTGTATGGTATCTAGGTAGAAATGTGTGGGAAAGGTCAGGGGCTGGGTTGCATTCAAAGACATGGTCTTTTCCTTTTAAGGTTCCAGCGAGAATCCCACAACCCCCTCAAAATGACTTGCCCAGGGTCACATAGCTAAATGACTGAAACCACAGAGGACCCCACCCTTGCTCTACTTATTTTGCCAACTATCTGAATAAAAATTATATTTAGGGGGAAAAAAATGACCCTGAGAATGGCAGGAGCTAATTTTGAAAATTATAGTCTCCTTGCTGTTCCATGAACAAGACATACCATCCCTCTGCTTGGGGCTTTTTTTTCTGGCTGTCCCTATTCCTAGAACACTCTCATTCCTCTGCTCCAACTACTGACCTCCTTAGCTTCCTTTAAGTCCCAACTAAAATCCCACCTTCTACAGGCAGTCTTTCCCAGCCCCTCTAAATTCCAATGCTTTCCCTCTTTTAATTATTTCCTATTTATCCTGCATATGGCTTGTTTTGTATACATTTGTTTGCATATTGTCTCCCCCATTAGATTGTAGGCTCCTTGAGGTCAGGAACTGTCTTTTGCTTTTTTTTGTATCCTTCCTCCCCTCCCCCCCACTTAGCACAGTGATTGACACATAGTAGACAACTTAATTTTAAGTTCCTTGAGGGCAGGGACTGTCTTTTGCCTCTTTGTCCCCAGCACTTAGCAGTGGCTGACACATAGCAGGCTCTTAAAATGTTCATTATTTCCTATTTATCCAGCATACAGTTTGTCTCTGTGCGTGCGTGTGCACGACAGTGTGCTCATACTGTCTCCAACATCAGGCTGTAATCTCCTTGAGGTCAGGGGCTGTTTTTTGCCTCTTTTTGTATCCCCAGAACTTAGCATAGTGACTGGCTTATAGTAGGTGCCTGGTAAACGTTTGTTATTTCTTATTTATCCCTGTATATAGCTTGCTTTGTGTGTATATACACGGATGTATATTATACACTCATATATGTTTGCATAGTCTCTCCCATTATATTGTAAGCTCCTTGAGGGCAAGGGCCATCTTTTGCTTCTTTTTGTATTCCCAGCACTTAGGACAGTGACTGGCACATTGTAGACACAATAAATGTTCACTGATTGCCTGATTAAAAATAGCTTAGAAGGAAGATGGGGAAGCAGAAGTGAGCCAGGTTCCTGTGACCACTAGCACATTGGCTGGACCCAATAGGCTAAACACGTGCCCGAGAAAAGGTGGTGGAGATAGCGTGGGAACGTAGATACGTCACAGAGCAGTAACGCTGGGCAACGTCATGCGCTGGCCAGTGTGGGGCGGAGCCTCCGGGCCCTAGCAGGCATGAGGGCCAAGAAAAAGACTACTCCAACAACCCCAGGCTCCGCCCCGCCCGCCCTCCTCCCGGAAGTGAGGCCCGACCCTACAGCGCGCCCCGGCCCCGCCCCCCTCAGTCCCCTACCTTGCTCTCCGAGTTGTACTTGCACGGGGTCCGAGGGGCCGGGGAGCGCGTGCCGCCCCCGCCCCCGCGAGCCCCCCGCCACTCCCCTTTCCGCTTCCGCTCCCTTTTCCCCAGTGGGAGTCGCTCTCCTCCTTCCCCGAGGTGGGGGTCGCTGGGGTGCCAGTGGGTCCTCAGGTTCGTTCCCGTCACACGCCTCCAAGCGTTTGCTCGCGTGTTTGCCGCCCGCAGCCGCGCAGGCGCGGTCCCATCTCCACTTCCGCCTCCGGTCGCTTCCGCCCTCTACGGGGGCCGCCAGAGGAGGTGAGTGAAACGCGATGGGATGTGCGCCCGGCGTCCGGCCCGGGGCTCCTCCAGCCGTGTTGGGGCTCGATCGGGGTGGGGCCATACCCCCGGGCCGGAAGGCTCTCCGAGCCCCTGATTGATTTCCGCGACGCCGTGGGGTAGTGATACCATCCTGCAGCAGCTTCCCTGGCCTCAGCCTCAGTTTACCCCCTTGTTCATTCATCCCCTTAACGGGTCAGGAGCCTCTGCTCGGGAGGACAGTTTTCGTAATCACGCGATTGAAAGCCGCAGGCCTGTTAGAGAGCATCTTGTCCAATCTCCCGACTCTAGAAATGGGGAAATTGAGGCCCAGAGAAGGGGAGGTGGACACCAAGGGCCCGAAGCCTCGAGTTACATTAGCTGCTGAAAGGGGAAGAGTCTGGGGGAAGCAGGAAGAGCCTGGAGGATTCGGGTGCTGGACAAGGGCAGAGAGCAGATCCATTTTCTAGGACTTAAACTTGAATGAGGTAGGCCAGGGACACTGGTTGACTGACATTGCCCATGGTAATAATAGAGGTAGCAAGTATGACAACCCACATTTTTTGGAAGGTGTTGGAATTGTGAACAGTGTGGGTTGTAACCACGTTAGGCAGATCACTTCCTTTCAGCTTCCCAAGGAAACCACCTTCCATGAACAGGATTGAAACTTACATGTTCTTTCTAAATCCAATGTTTTTTTTTTCCATCTGTATCATGCTGTCTCTCAACATCTCTTTCATCCCTGTGCTTTTGAGTAAGTTGTCTTGCCTCATCCTCACTCCCCTCAAACACCCCGGCTTTTAAAATGATTCCTCTATTCCCTATCTTAAAACCCTTCGGGTTGGGTATTTTTCCTGATATCTGAGGTTATGCTGAGGCTTATAAAGAGTCATTTCACCATCCATCTATTGGACTCTTAGACTCTGGGGTCAGCTTGGTCACTCTTCTTTCCATAGGGTATGCTACACACCTCAAGATGTGGGTCTCTGGCCTTTGGCCAGGAATAAACCCCTAAGCTTCCCTGTTTTTAGAAGCCACCATCTGAAGCAAGATCCCTCCTGGTCACTCTTCTCTCCAACCTTTCTTGACAATGTCTACCCTGATTCTCAACTTGGACTTTGGGGACTGTCCTCCCCCAAAGAAGGCAACTGAAGGGAACCACAAGCACCAGCGTTTCATCCAGCGACAACGGCGGATACAGAGGAACCTTAAGCAGAAACAGATGCAGGTCCCTGCCAAGCCGTCGGGATCAGGGCATTCTAAGTTCCAAAATAAAGGGGGGACCCTTAGCACAAATAATAAACAGAAACTCCATCCCCTCCCTGAACCTATACGGGAGACACCCAGTCAGAAAAATGGAATTGAGAAGCCCTTGAGTAGGAAAGTATCAACAGTGTCCTGGTTGACACCTGCTCCTTCACGAAAGACCAGTTCGGTATCTGTGGCATCTAAAGTAGATCTCCTGTCAGAGTTCCAGAGTGGCCTCTGTCCCCTCCCACCTGCCCGAACCCTCCCACCTGCAGCAGAGAAGAGTTGCAACAAGAAGATGGTGGCTCTTGATTGTGAGATGGTGGGCACAGGGCCTAAAGGCCATACTAGTTCTTTGGCCCGATGTAGCATTGTAAGTTACAATGGTGACGTGCTATATGATGAATACATTCGTCCTCCCTGCAAAATTGTGGACTACCGGACCAAGTGGAGTGGTATCAAAAAGGAGCACATGGTTAATGCCACCCCTTTCAAGGCAGCCCGGAAAGAGGTGATGTGAATGGGGAAGGGCGGGGGTGTAGGCTGCCTGGGGTCTTTCCCTTAAAAGGGAATAATCAAGGAAAAGGCTTGACAGAGGTTAGGTAAGGAGGAAGGCTTGTACATAGGAAGGGACTGGGCTTTGGTGCAAAGTAGTAGGGAGTGAGAGAGGAAGTGGAATCTTAATTAACATATGCTGAGCACAGAGCCCTGTTCTGGAACTAGATCCCTAAGACAGGGTAACCCTACCTCCTGGTTTCCCACCAAGACTTGGACAGAGACTAGAGCAAAGTATCAAGTTGTACAGAGATATTTAAATATTATGGTTAAAGGAGGGATGTCAATTTGGGAAGGCTTCCTGGACTAGAAGAAAAATGCAGAATAATTTTGGGAAAGAGGACAAACAATGAAAGGAATAATAATGCATAATTTAGGTGATAGAATGTTCCTAGGTGCTTTTTTTGTCAGTCCTATGGCTCAGTCACAATGCAGAATTGGGTGATGAGATGCTGCTGAATGATCTCTTCTTACTCCCATCACTGCACTTAGGCCTTGGACTGCTTTTGCCTATCACATAGAGGAGGGATCTAAGAGTACTTTTGGAGGAAGGCGAATTCATCCATTTTTCAAGTGCTCAGTGGCTGACGTCACTTGGCTAGAAGTCATACAAGAATGTCAGAACTGGTTGGAAATCTTAGGAATTATCTAGTCCAACACCATTATTTTACAGATGAGGAAATGGAGGTTCAGAGAAGTAAAGTCACACAGTTCAAGGCAAAACTAAGGCTGGAACACAAAACTAGGGCTTATACCACTGTACCCTACTACCCGCCTTATCGTAACTCTTAGTTTAGCATCCTCTTCACAGAGTGTGGGCTTCGTGTTTCCTGGCTTCCATCATAGGACCTGTTTCTGTATTACATCAGCATTGTACTATCCAAAGTAGTCCTTAATTTGTGAGTATTCAAATTGAACACTCCTTACCATACTCAACTGTATCAGACACAGTAAGGACCTAGGCTTTGGCTGCAGTAATTTTTAGAAACCTGCAGGTGGTGCCCTTGGGCCAGTTCTCTCTCTGAGCTGTTCTAAGGTACTTGGTATGTTGTGCCTTTTTATTTGTGCCCATATATCCTGTCCCATAAGCTCACAGTGTACAGAATCCTGTTCTGATCTCCAAGACTGACCTAGGCAGAGGGGAGAGAATCCCTGCTCTTGGTGAAGCTCTCTCTGTAATGGAGGAATACTCAAAGCCGGGGGCTAGAGTTGGAACAGATCTTAAAGATAATCTAGTTGAACCTTATTTTAGTGATTGAGGTCCTGAGAAGGGAAATGATTTGCCTCTAGTTACACAGATGGTAAGTGGCAAAGTCAGAATTCAAATCCAGGTCTTTTGCTCTAGGGCTTTTTCCAGTACTCTGTTTCCTCTCTGGTTCATGCCAATGCAGTATAGTGTAAATGGAAATATGGAGGGGAAATTCCAAATAAAGTCATAAGTTGGTTGAGTTAAGTCAAGGGAAGGTTTCCTGAATTCTGGAAAGGGTTTAGAAGAAGGAGAATATAGCAGGATACAATAGAAAGAAAAGCATCCTGGGTAGTGGGGACTTGTAAAGCTTGAGGTGGTTGAGCTGAATTGGAGTCCTGAGCCCATTCTGGGGAGATTGGAAGAAAAAAGAGTGATAGCCAGTTGTTGCTAGGAAGGAATGGCATGAATACCTGGCCTGGGTTGAGTTATCATCTTTGGAAAGCATTTGCTCCCTGCCTTTTTGCGGGTAGCCATATGCTGGGTGGCATACAAACTGATGGAGTTAATGCCTGTATCAGAACATATCTCCAGCTATGTGTGCTGTCCCTTGCAGAGTAAACTGCCTCAGGAGGCCATGTGCATACACTCCAGTCACACTGCCCCTGCCTGAGATATTCTGAGGTTTCATTATGGACTCTTTTGGCAGTCTGATGGCTCTGCTCAGAATAATATGTTTAAATGTTGTATGCCAAGGAAACTAATTATGTTGAAATACAGTTCTCAAAGTATTTAAAAAAAATTCATGGACTCCAGCTTAAGAACCCTTACTGTATAGCTTGTAAGCTATTCTTTTGACCCTCAGAGTAGTGGCATGTCATTTTTTGAAGATAATTTTGACTTTTTGAAACAGCCGTAAGTCATTTGGAGCCAAGTGTGGCAATAAAATCGAGTGATAACGCTAGGAAGATGCAGTCTTTAATTTTTAGAAGGAGAGTTAAGATTATAATATTGTGAGACTGATTTTTTTTTAAGGGAGACAGTGTTAATACAGTATAGTGTAAAGAGCACTGGCCCTGGATTCAGAGAACCTTGGTTCAAATTCCACCTTTTACTTTGTAACCTGGGAAAAAATTATTTAATCTGGGCCTTGATTTCCTCATCTATAACATGAAGAGGTTGGATTAGATAGCCTCTAAGGTCCTTTCCAGCTCTAAATCTGTGATTTTTTGTTTTCCTTTTTGGTGAGGCAGTCGGAGTTAAGTGACTTGCTCAGGATCACATAGCTAGCAAGTGTCATGTGTCTGAGGTCAGATTTGAACTCAGGTCCTCCTGACTCCAAGGCCAGAGCTTTATCCACTACACCACCTAAGTCTGTGATCTTCTTATGAGGCATATATGATAGGGGTCATAGGAGTTGGTGTAGTGGAAAGAATATTGAATATAGAGTCAAGATCCTAGATTCTAATCCCATCTTTGTCTTGGATTAGCATTGTGACCCTGGTTAAATCATTTCTTAGGGCCTCAGTTCCATTATCTATAAAATTAGGGTGACACATCAGGGTCACCAGCACTAAAATCATTGAGTATTCTGTCCTGAGACAAACCTAGCAGTCCAGTAGAAACTTAGACAACCTTACACATTGGGAATGAGTACAATTTGGGGGTAAGGTAAGTTAGTTTATCATTGTATTGGAGAGTTGGTGCAGGGAAGGGAGAATCAACCATTCTATTTCTATTTCTAGATAGAGTAGAGCAAGAGAAATCACCAGCTCTCGTCTAATTAAGCTAGGCGAGGTGCCTTGAAGGAAGGGAATTAGAGAATTTAAAAACAGTTTGACTATTAGGAGAAAGATAGTTTGTGGAGATGTAGTGGCTTTTGAGAGCAGTTTGAGAGGAACACACTGGACAAAGAGGATATGGAAGGGGTGTATCAGCTAAGCAGTTTGGTGTCACATTTGTACAGGGAGGAGAGACTTCAACCACCCTTCCTCCCTGAATTTCAGATCTTGAAGATACTCCTTGGCAAGATTGTAGTGGGCCATGCCATCCACAATGACTTCAAAGCCCTCCATTACTTTCACCCCAAGCCCCTTACCCGAGACACTTCCAGAATCCCTATCCTTAATTCCCGGGCTGGCTTCCCTGAGAATGAGTCAATCTCTTTGAAGCGTCTTACCAAGCAGCTGCTCCATCAGGACATTCAGGTAAGTGGATGTGGGTGGGTGAATATTTTTCCAAGCTCCAGAAAGCATCTCTAAGCCTCCCCTTCATATACTAATGCCATCCCTACCCCCATTCCACCAGTTTAGAGTTCTGATGGTCCTTTCAGCTCTCTTTTTCCTGGAGTAAGCCACCCAACTCTGACTGACTATGTATCTAGTGTGGAGGTCTAATAGGGATAGTCCTTGACTTAAAGGCAAGGCAGCTGGGCTCTAGCCCTGCTTCTAATTTGCTATATGTGACCTTTCTCAACTCCCCTGCCTTCTCTGGCCTCACTTTCTCTATATGCAAAATGGGGATAATAATATCTTCTCATTTTTTCACAGCTTGATTTTGGAAATAACTGATGATGGTAACCATAAGTAGATAGGCTCTGGAATTGGATTTGGCTAAGAGAAGAAGGGTAGGCCTTCTTCTAAAGAACAGTCATAAAAAGATATGATTTACCTATACCAACCTCAGAAACGTACCAGTCTCTCCCAGAATTCAGTCTATTTCCTTAGCCACATAGAAAAGGGGAAAAGGACTGAGAGCAAGAACCCAGAGAAGAAATGATTGAGGGCTCATGGTGTCCTAGACTCCAGTGATTTGAAGGACAGTTCTCTGAAAGTACAGGATAGGTTTTATCAGTACAGAATGCAAAATAATATGGAATTAGTGGACATTATATAGGAGGGACAGAGATTACACAATAGCATGCATTTCCCAAAGGTGAAACTCTGAAATGAAGAGATGAAATGAAGAGCCCCCCAATGGGGGCTTTGTTTCCAGAGAGGTCTGACTATCAAGGGGGAGATAGGGATGGGTTTTTGGTTTATTTTTTAAAATCTGGACCTATGATATCATTTTGGTGATGGAACTCCCTCTACGCAATGCAGATCAGTAGCTGTTCTGCTTGGGGCAGTACGAGATTAAATTGATCTCCCTAGAGTCACATAACCAATAAGTGTCAAAGGTGTGACCTGAACCAGGTTCTTCCTCATTCAGATGCTAGCCCTCCATCTACTACACCACATAGTCTCCTTGTAGCTAAAGGGTACAACTTAGATTGCTTATTAAGTGCCAGGCAGAAATAAGATTGAGAGAAGGGAGTTGATACATAGAGAAATAAAGAGAAAATGGAGAAGCAACACCTTATAAGCCTCACTCTACTCTCATCCCTTCTTCCCTTAGGTAGGGAAGAGCGGGCATTCCTCAGTTGAAGATGCCAAGGCAACCATGGACCTCTACAAGTTGGTGGAAGTTGAGTGGGAACAACAGCTGGCCCGATCTCCTCCCTCTCAGGAATAGGGGAGGTGGAGTTGTGGGACTGGTAGTCATTGCAGAGAGAAGGCCTCAGACTGAGGGTAAACAGCTACCCCCAGGGGGAACAGACTATCCAACAGCCCAAGACTTAGGCTGGAGCTGTTGGGAAGTGAGTCTACCCCAGACCCAATCTCTCCAACCATAGACCATTGAAATTTTTACCACAGGTGTTGTGTCCTACTTGTCTAGCGTGTTTCCCCTCTCAGTCTCAGTGAAGGGGTGTGGGGTAAAGGGAAGCTCCCTACATTGAAAGCCAGCCCCTTGCTGCCCACCCCTTAGCATTGGTGTTTTAGGCTGGTCACAAGTCCCGGCATTCCTTGCTTCAGCCAGGCAGCTTGGCTAACAGGACAATACTGGGATGTGTAGTTTCTCTAGATCTCCCCTAAATCATTATGGCTGTGATTAAGTACTTTTGTCCCAAAGTACCATCAGCTAATACCATTTTTAGCCCAAGACCCTTTTCTCCCCACCCTTGATACCTGGAGGAGCCACCTCTGATTATCAGTTGATTTCCTGTTTTTTTACTGAGTAGTGGGAAGCAAGAAAATCAACTTTTTCATGGTCACATTTTAAAAAAAATATCTTCTTTATCCTAAGGAAAAAAAAAGAGGTATTTATTTGAGTCCCAGGTGCCTGCTGAGAAAGCATTTATGTTTTCAATGCTCCCTCCTTCATGTTAAGTGAAGCCTCTAAATGCCCAAGTTACTGCCTTGTAAACTCACAAAGGAATTTTTATAAAGGAAGAAGTATTGTTTTTTGCTACTTATTAAACAGATTCAGGACAGTGTATTTTGTAAAAGAATGTATAATATGGGCTAGCCACAGTAATTCAGTAAAGGAGTTTCCTGGTTTGTGAATTTGAAAAGCCCTGAACAGCACCCCATATGTGGATAAGACCAATTACACAATCTCATCTTCACAAACATTTACTAAGGATCTTCAGGTTGCTATTCCTGTGCCCTGTTGTTCACAGCTCTGCTCCACATCCCCACTCGTAAATCAGATGTATTGTGGATAATAATGCAGCAAGATGCATAGAATGGCTAGAAGTGTGGTGTCTCAAAGTCAGTACATGTGCAAGTTTAGATGGTATTTCTCTTAGCAGAGACTGTCTGAATGCCCTGCCATGATCCCATCAAGTCTGTAATTTCGTGTTCAATTTTAAACATACCCCATTTTTAGGAGGGATATTGATAAGCTTGGAGCTGGTACTGAGGGGGCTTAAAACCATGTCATTAGAGGCAAGTTTTTCATGTGGAAAAAGAAAAAATCTTATTCTGCCTCACTCCATAGGTTAGAGCTAAGAAGTTACCCAGAGACAGATTTCATCTTAATATGAGAAGGAATTTGAGCTGGAAGGGACCTTAGAGATCACAGGGTTAATTGACCTGCCCAGGGTAACACAAGAAGTAACCTGCAGAGCTGATGTTTGAATTCAGGTCTTTCTTCCAAATCAGGACTTCCCCAATCTGTGTGTGTGTGAGCAGAGGCTGAATGACTGCCTTTGGACATATCGGTGGGATACATGTTTCAGGGAGGGTTGGACTAGATGACCTTTGAAATCCTTTGCAGTTCTGAGGTTAAATAATTCTATAAAATGGATCATTTGGCACGAGAAAAGGGGATAAATGGGTGAAAAAAGGGTATTCTGAAGCAACTGCAGGCTAGTTTTTCAGTAAACACCAGCCATGTTCAACACGGAAGCCCAAAGGGTTTTCTTTCTTCCCTTTTAATCTGGGTGTGCAGTTTGTATTCACTTTGGCAGTGCAGGCATTTTATTATCCACACAAAAACCCAGGGCCATAGTTCTGTATTCACTGCCTTGCCTCTGGTGACCAGAGCTACCTCCTCGACTGCCATCAGAAAAGAAGAGCTTCACCACAGTAACATCTCTTCCTGTAGCCCAGCCAGGCCCCAAGCATTAGCTCATTGATTCCTTCCTAACATGGTCTGCGTGCACAGGCAGCCAGCAAGGCCTGAACAAGTTGGTTCCTGTCAAGCCTAGCAGGCATTAATGTCCGTGTTGGCATAGGAGGAGTGACATTGTGCCTGGTCCTTGAACAGAGACAACCAGGCAGTCTATGAAGTCTGCATAACCTGAACAAGGGTAACCACTGTGTTGGCCACATCGAGAATCAGAATTGGACATGAAAACAGAATTAAGTTACAGATATCCATCATGGTCAGTGAAGAAGAAAAACTACTAGCAAACTCATGGAATCCAGGTCCTGTTGACTAGGTAACTATTGACTAAAATTCAAATCTTTTGTCTTTATGGGAACTATTTATGAAAACAGTGACATGGTCACTGCAGGGAGAAGACCAGACTCTAGCTTATACATGTGGAATTCATAGTACATATATCTAGCCTTGCTGAAGGCAGCACCTGGAATTGTCTGCTAGATTATAAGCTCCTCTAGGGCAAGAAACAGTGTATTTACCATATTGGTCCAATTTGAGTAAAACCTGAGTGTCCACCAAATGTTATTTTTCAGCGTGTACTTAAATGTCCTCTTTTTGAGATTTCATGGTGAATCTTAACATTTAGTTTAATATAAGTGACTGAGACTAGTTCAAAATTGTTTTGCGAGGTCCAAACTTATGATTTCATTGGTTTAGAGATGTCTGAGTGAGAAAACTCCCATTACCAATGCAGATCACCAACTGCTCCGCAATGTATAGTCTTAGAGAGTTTCCTGGAAGCACTGAGAGTTTAAGTGATTTATCCAGTCAGTTGTTACTTGTCAGAGTTGGTTTCGAACCCAGGTCTTCCTGATTCTAAGGTAACTATCTACTGTATCATACTGCTTCTCAAACAAATGACAACAGTTGACAATAGAATACTACTATGATTAATGAATGTGTTAGTGTCACAGAATTTCAGAGTTGTAAGGGATCTTAGAAATGAGAGTAGTCCATCCTATACCAAAAGGATTCCTGTACAATATATCAGATAAGTGGTCATCAGACATTTGTTTGAAGACCTCAAATGAGGAGGGACCTACAACATTCTGAGCCCATTTTGCTTTTGAATCATTTGACTTATTAGAAAAGCTTTACTCAAATTAAGACCAAATCCACCTTATTGCAACTTCCATCCATTGCTCCAAGTTCTGTCCTCTAGAGCCAAGCAGATCAAGTCTAGTTCACTTTTCACAAAGCTCTTCAAATACTGGAATACAGCTTCACTGTGTCTTTTCTAGGCTAGTCTGGCTCCTTCCATCCTTATATGGCAGGAACTTGAAGACCTTCACCTTCCTTGTCATCATCCTCTGGACATACTCCAACTTATCATTGTCCTAACTCAAATGTGTGCAGGACTAAACACCATACTTCCACTGTGGTCTGACCAGTGAAGAATGTAACAGCAACCATGTTCTTGGATACTGCCTCTCAATGTGTAGCCTACGATCACATTAGCTTTCCTGCACTGCCATGTGGACTCATATTGAGGTCTGTGACCCACTAAAACCTCTACACCTTATTGACTGGGCTCTCTAACACCTATTTTGTACTTGTGATAGTGACTTTATGAAATTGAGCATGACTTTACGTTTATCCCTATGACTTTCATCATGTTTGCTTTGACTCGGTGTTCTAGCTTACCTTAAGATCTTTTTACATTCTTACATATCTGAAGATTGGAAAAGCATGCCTCCCATGCCTGTGCAAGTCATCAAGATGCACAGGACCCAGCACAGATCCCATGGGGAACCTTCCAAGTTGACATTGGATCATTAATGATTACATTTTGAACCTACCCAATCATTTCAGAATCCACTTAATTGTAATATTATCTAGCCCACATTTTGCCATCTATTCCACAATAATATGTGAGACCTTATCAAATGATTATTCTCCTGATGTACAGGAATTCTGTCAAAAAATGGAAATAAGCCGATTTTTGATGGTTATTCAGAATGTGATCACTTCCTTTTTTAGATATTCATATCTCTTTAATGTGTCCTTGAGTTCCTGCAGAAATCAAAGTCAAACTATTTGGTCATTTTTGTAGTTTCCATTTCCTTTTTTTTTGAAAATTCAAACACCCTTCTATCTTTTTTCTGTTCCTGAGTTCTCCCAAGAACTTTCAAAGACTATGAGGTGGTGGCTCACTGTCTGCTAGTTCTTTCAGTTAACATGACCACCTCTACGTATAAGGAAGTTTTAGTCTGGCCAAAGTCTGAAGGATAGTTTGAACTAGGGAAGAGAGCAGAAGTGGAATGATGTGCTACTGAGGCTATTAGTATAGTCTACATGGGTGGGAATGAGGGCTTTTATGGGGGAAAGGGGAGGAGAAAGGTTGCAATATAATAGGAATCAGAGACGAAAGATAAGATCTGCTAACATTAAATATTGGCAGATGCTGATTAGATTGTATGGGAAGTGAGGAAGGGACAGAGCGGCCAAATTGCTGTTTTTCCCCAACTTATCTTTTTAAAGAAAAGGTCCAAGGGGCAGCTAGGTGGTGCAGTGGATAAAGCACTGGCCCAGGAGGACCTGAGTTCAAATCCAGCCTCAGACACTTGACACTAACTAGCGGTGTGACCCTGGGCAAGTCACTTAACCCCATTGCCTAGCCACTGTTTGGGTTTACAGGTCAGAGTATTTCACAGTCTATGTGTTTGTGGCACAAAACCCCCGGGGGGACTCCAAAGCCTCGGATTTGTTTGCAAGACTGGCCTTCTGTCTTGCTCCAGCCCCTCCCCAGGAGGACAGCCACCAGAGTCCTTGCGTGATTCTCCTTATGCTGCTCCATGGTCTTTGTTCCCCTTCCTCCACCCTCTTTTATTAGAATCTTGCTGAGCCCTCAGTTGAGGACAGGTGGTCCATTGCATCTAATCTGACCTTCCTCTACTCCTTCCCTCCTTTTCTTCCCTCTTTTTCCCTGTGAATAACAAGCATTTTTATTTTTTTTATTGCATCAGTGCCTTCCTAGCTTCCCTCTGCCACCGTCACAGACTGAAAACTTCAGTCATCTGTGACTCTTCTCTCTCACTCCTCGTATCTAATCAATTACCAAGGTGTATCCATTCTCTCTGCCCATCTCATATTCATGTGCTTTTCTCCACTCACATGACTACCACCTTAGTTCAGGCTCTCATTACCTCCCTGCTAGAAGTCTGCAGTTGTCTAGGCAAATCATCTCCTAGCCTCTTGTCTCTTCCCTTTTCAGACCCTCCTTCACACAGCTACCAAAAATCACCCTGAGGCACAAGTCGTTCTATCTATTCAGCAACTTGTCAGAGATGACTTAGCTCATAGGATAAAGTAAAACTCCCTAGCCTAGAAGCTAAGACCCTTCCCAGTGTGACTGCAGTTTTATTACTTGGTATTCCCTTCCACCTGCTCAACACTTCAGCCAAAATGGACTATTGGCTGTTTGTTGCTATGTCCTCGGCTATCTCAATACTTCCATGGTCTCCCCATTGACATTGATTAATATCTTTCCCTTCATTCAAGGCCCAGCTGAGTTGTCGCTTGTTCCACAAAGCCTTTCTTGCTACCCACTGGCCATAAGCGATTCTTCTGTCATTGAATTTCTCAGGATGCTCTGAGCCTCCCTTCCCACTCATTATCACAGTTACTTGTGTATATCTCATCCCATTTTGTGTGCATGTCTTAGCCCCTTGAGGGCATTTTTCATCTTTGCATCAACATCCAGCATCATACCTTGCACAAAGAATGTTTATGGAATTGAATTTATTCTGCAAGCATTTGTAAAGGGCCCTTCATGTGGCACCGAGGCACTGAGGATAGATACAAAAAGGAACTATCTGTTCCCAAGGAGCTTACATTTTACTGGGGAGAAAGGACATGGACAAAATCTCTACAAAGCACGTGTCATGTACATCTAAAGTAATTTCCAGGGATCAAGGGTGATTGGGATAAATGGCATGGTTTAAGCTGAGCCTTGAAGGAAGTCATGGATTCCAAAGAGTGGCAGTAAGGGGAAGGAGCCCAGGGAATAGTTTATGCAGAGGCACAAGTGGGAGGTAGAACGTCCTGTACAAGGAGCAAGTAATCATGACACACATGAATAAGTTAGACTGACCAGGGCTTTAGGTGCTAACTGGAAAAGTTGATATTTTTTCTTGTAGGTAATTGGGAGCCACAGAAACTTCTTGTGCAAGGGAGTGACATAGACCTTTTTTTTTAATTGGCTAGGCAATGGGGTTAAGTGACTTGCCCAGGGTCACACCGCTAGTTAGTGTCAAGTGTCTGAGGCTGGATTTGAACTCAGGTCCTCCTGGGCCAGTGCTTTATCCACTGCACCACCTAGCTGCCCCTTGGACCTTTTCTTTAAAAAGATAAGTTGGGGAAAAACAGCAATTTGGCCGCTCTGTCCCTTCCTCACTTCCCATACAATCTAATCAGCATCTGCCAATATTTAATGTTAGCAGATCTTATCTTTCGTCTCTGATTCCTATTATATTGCAACCTTTCTCCTCCCCTTTCCCCCATAAAAGCCCTCATTCCCACCCATGTAGACTATACTAATAGCCTCAGTAGCACATCATTCCACTTCTGCTCTCTTCCCTAGTTCAAACTATCCTTCAGACTTTGGCCAGACTAAAACTTCCTTATACGTAGAGGTGGTCATGTCAACCATCAGTGACTCCCTGTTGCCTCCTTCCTAGCCCCAGGTATTTTCCCAGTCTCATGACCTCTAGCTTGGCCTGCTGTGATAGCCTGCTTCATCTGAACCCTGCCTCCAGTCCTTCCCTTCCCTAATCCCAACTCCACACAGCTGCCAAACAGTGTGTTCCTGAGGCTCGGGTCTGACTATGCTACTCCTTTGTTCAGGAAGGTCTTATCATTCCCAGTCTAGGATCAAATGCAAACTCCTTTGACATGTAAAGCCCTTCCCTGTCTGACTCTTAACATGTCTTTCAGGCTGATTGCGCATTACTGCTGTCACATCCTCTGTGGTCCCTCTGAAGTGGTGACTACTTGCTGATCCTCATGCCCATCATCTTCCATCTCTGTACATTTACAGAAGCTGTTCTGAGCCTCGGCTGCCCCCCCCCCATCTCTACCTCTTCTCAAGCTTGCTTCTGAGCTCAGCTCTGCAACCACTGTCTGTATCCAAGACCTTTCCTAACCGTGCTAGTGGCTAGTGCTCCCTCTCTAAAAATCACCTTTTATAGTCTACCTTGTATTTACTTTGTATAGATCTTGTATCTACTTATTTGGTCCTTGTTATTTCTTGAGATGGAATTTAAGTTCCTTAAAGGGAAGGACTTTCATTTTTGTCTTTGTATCTACAGCACCTAGCACTCAAACATAGTATCTAATGAGTGCTTATGTACTTGATAGCAAAGTTCAAACATTTCAAGGCCCTCCCGATCCTCCCTTTTCAGTCTACAGCCAAACCACACTCTTTACGCTCCCCAGGAGTTTTCTGACTGCCTTTTTTTCACTATATTACCTCTGCTTGTATGGCCCTCACCCACCACACCCCATTTGAATTCCTGTTCTTTGAAGCCTAATTCCAATGCCACCTCTAGAAAGCTTTCCCCATCTCCCTCTCCCTTCCTCCAAGTAAAAACTTCCCACCTTGGAGTTCACTTCACAGTTTGTTTACAGCTCCTCTATGCTTGTCTGCTTTAAATGCCCATATCTTATCTTGTGTTCTACTTATTTGTGTCATCTGCCCCTACGAGACAGCCAGTCATTCCAGCACCCAACAGTGCTTAGCAGACAGTGTTTTCTTAATAAATATTGAGCTGAAGTTCCCATTCTTTCCCTCCATGCTTCAGTAATAATACCCAAGAAGCCCTTCCCACTCAAAAGTCTGCTCCAGTGACTTCTCTTGGCCCTGTTTTTCTCATCCATAAGAAAGCTGAATTAGATAATATCTAAGGCCTTGAATCCAGCTTTAACAGTCTATGATTGTATATCCAGCTGGAGCATTGAAATGGAAGGGAAGGTTCAACAGTAATTCAAGTAGCACTTTTGAGCCCCAGCACTATAATTTGCTAGGCGTGATTTGGAACAAGTTATTTAAACTCTGAGCCTTGGTTTTCCTTCTGTTAAATGGGGTTTATTTCACCTGTGTTGCTTATCTCACAGGGTTGTTGTGAGGTTCAAATGAGATAAAATTCTTTGTAACTTCATGTGACGATAAATGTGAGTTAACTTCTCTGAGGCTCAGCTTCCTCATCTATAAAATGGGAATAATGATTGTACTACCCTCCTCACAGAGTTGTTAAAGTCAATTCAGTTCAACATTTATTAAGCACCTGTTAGGTGTGAGGCACTGTACTAGGTACTGGGGATAAAAAAATGAAATAAGATATGGTCCCACACACTTCTTGTTCATCTTCAAACATTGAAATGTGAATTATTATTGTGAGGTGACTTGTCCAAGATGTGTGTATGAGAGCATCTGAGAATTGGGCATTGAAAGAGGCTTCAGAGACCATTTGGTTCAACACTACCAGAGTATGAATATCCTGTCCCTCACAAGTGGTCATCCAGTCTTCATCTGAAGACTCCCAGCGGTAGATAGCTCGTCCTACATCCCATACTGGATGCATGGTTCATAAAGGAATGCCCTTCACACCCTGGAATCTTGTTCTGTTGCTTGTTTGGAAGAACTCCAGGAAAGGTATCCAAATGAAACAGGCCAAATTATTCCAGAGAAGAGAAAGAAGACAGTCCCTGCCCTTGTGGAATGGGGAAGATGGAGTCCACACCCAGAACGAAGACAAAGGAGAAATAATCAAGCCAGACAGCCCTAGACAGAAGTACATGGGGAGAAGGAAAAGGGATGGGTAAAGGGATGCCAGAGTTTGGGAGCAAATGCTGTTTGGGGAGGGCTCCTGAAGTAATTTGGTGGGGGATGGTGTATAGGGTATTCACAGGATCACAAGATGTCAGGACTGGAAGCAATGAGTTCACTTAGTCTAATACCCTCCTCTTTTTTTGAAGGTGAGGAAACTAAAACTCAGAGAAAAGAAATGTGCCCAAGGTCACAATGGCAAAGCTAAGATTTAAACC